ATTCCTGCTAGCTTGGGGAGGAAGCATAAAGTACACCCGATCCCTGGAAAGAGACAGAGAGCGGGAGCAAAGGCCCAGGGGAGGGGGGAAGTAAACTCTCGTGGCAGTTCTCGGAGGCCTGTCGAAGTAGCGTGACTCTCTACCTGTTGCCCCCTCTTCCCCCCCAGTTTGCAGAGAAGTTCCAGGAGGTGAAAGAAGCAGCCCGTTTGGCCAGGGAAAAGTCGCAGGATAAAACAGAGCTGACCAACCCCGCGCTGAACATCACCTCTCCCCAGGTAACCGGCAGCGGGATGGGGTGCTGAGGAAAGGGGTCGAGGCCTGTCGAAGTAGCGTGACTCTCTACCTGTTGCCCCCTCTTCCCCCCCAGTTTGCAGAGAAGTTCCAGGAGGTGAAAGAAGCAGCCCGTTTGGCCAGGGAAAAGTCGCAGGATAAAACAGAGCTGACCAACCCCGCGCTGAACATCACCTCTCCCCAGGTAACCGGCAGCGGGATGGGGTGCTGAGGAAAGGGGTCACGTCAACAGGAGCTGAAATCACCGTCCACGGGCATCAACTGGCAGCCGGAAAGGCCCTGAATGTGAGCCAGCCGGCCTGAGTGATGCCAAGGCCTTTTGCTCGTGTGTGTCTCCAGGCGGCCTCCTGGGCCTGCGAAGAACGGCCCGTGCCAGGCGTCCTGGGGGACGTTTCACTAAGGCAACACTGGGGGAGTGGGGCAGGGTGGAGCCTGCCTCTCCACTTCCATCTCTCCTGGAGAACAAGCCGCATTCCAGGTCTCTGGGGGGTGTATATTGAAAGTGTGGCATGTCTCCCTAAGCCAGCCCCTGAAGCTTGCAGGATGGGGGTGCGTTCTGCCCCCATCTCCCCATGGCAGCTGTTCCGGAGCTGTGCACCCTACTGGTGCATCCCAGAGGGGGCTTTGCATTTCCCTGATCTCCTGGCAACGGGCGGGGGAGCTGGGGGGTGGAGGACACTGCGTTCTCTGGGCTGAGGACAGATGGAGCAGCAGCAGAGGAGGAGGAGGCAGTGAGAACAGCACCTTGGCCTGCAGGAAGAGGAGGAGGAGGGAGAGGAGGAGGCCCTGGGGAGCCTGGGTACGCCGCGCAGGGTGGCGCAAAAGGAGAACTCTCCAGCTGGGCTCCCATTGGGTCTCCCTAAGGCAGAGGCGGGGAACCTCTTTTGGCTCCCACGGGGAAATCGGTGGGTGGCCACACAAAAGTGAGAAGCAAACCCTCCTCCCAAGCCCCCCCCCAAATCTCATTGACGTGGCCCTGGACTGAGAAGTGGAAAGACCCTCCCCACATTCCCTCACACCCCAGAGCCCGGGGGGGCCTGGGCTAGTGGATTTTGTGGGCCCCCTAGGCTCAGGGGTGGAGCCAAAAGGGGGGCTTAGGAAGTGAGCTTAGAGTGGGGGGGCTGGTGGGCCTGGAAGGGCGGTAGGGTGCAGGAGCAGAGTGGGAGTGCTGACACCCTGATGCCGGGGGAGGGAGAGCCCCAAGCCTCGGGGCCAGACCTGGGCAAGCGGGGGGCCGGAGTGGGCCCCTGGGCCATAGGTTCCCCACCCTTGCCCTGAGGGTTGGGGGAGGGAGCAGAGAGCAGAGTGGGGGCAGCTCAGAAGGGGATCAGGAGCAATAGTGAGAGCTGCAGGGGCTCGTCAGCATGTGGCCAAGGGGCTGCCCGTGAGCCAGCTGGGCCCCGCACTCCGGGCAGAACGTGCCCACGTGGCCCAATCAGCCAGTACCTCTGGCAGCTCGCCGCAGAGGGCCGCTAGGAAAGAGCAGCTGCGTGTAGATGCGGCTCGGGAGCGTTCAGCGTCTCTTGTTCCCGGCTGCCCATTCAGCTCGGCAGCGCTCGAACCAGACCCAGGCGACCCGGCAGCGGCTGGGAGGGGGCGGGTGCGGGGAGGTGCCAGGCAGGACCGTGTGGGATGAGGCATCAGCCCTTTATGCTTCCGTCTCGGCGCGCTCGCCCTCCTCTGCACGGGGGAGGGACAAGGCCGAGGCAGTGGGCAGCCTTCCCGGCCAGCCCCACGCCAGAGCCACCGCTGTTCCACCCTCCAACTCAGCCTGAGCCCACACGGCCGGGGGGGGGGAGGAAGGAGTGTCAGGTGCCATCTGGGCAAGGCCATGCGGCCGCTGGACCATCCAAGGCTGGCTGCTGTGGGAGCAGGCGCCATGCTGGCCTGGGTGAGCAGGCGGGTGGCAGCATTATCTCCCCTGCCCCGTCCCCCCCAGACACAGGAAGCGGGGCTCCGGCTCCGGCTCCAGCTCCAGCTCCAGTTTTCTCTGCAGAGCCCGCACGTCTCATTCCCAGCTCCACCCTGGGGGAGACGCCCCTGTAGGGACTGGGCGCCATTGAGACATGGCGGGGGCTGCGCCCGGCGCTTCCAAGGAGGGAGCTGAACGGGGCTCGGCCAGGCTCCGCCCCTTTGGGGAGTGCGGCTGGCTCTTGGGAAGTCGAACCCTCCCCTCCAGGCCACTCACGCGCCAGCGCTAAGCACCGCCCCTCTAGACCACACAGGGCCTCCTTCCCTTCCCACCCCAGCCTCAGTCACAAGCTGCTCCCTCCCCTTCAGAGACGCGACATCAGTGCAAAACGGGGGGCCTGAGACGAGAATCAGGCCTCTGCTTGGGGGAGGGGGGACCAGGGCCTGGGCACGTGCTGGGCTCTGCAGTGTCAGATAGAGCGGCCCTGTCAGCCTGGCCGATTGCTCTGGTGATGGGTCGGTTTTCACAGCAGGCGACGGATACACCAGCTCTCGTGTCAGGGCGTTGTGTCCTGCTCGCCTCGGGGGCTACATCTCACCACACAGCCATGGGGTTTGCAACACTCGGGGGGGGGGGGCAGCCTCCCCCGGGGCCGTGCTGTAGCACAGCCAGCTCTAAGAGGCAGAGGGCTTCAGGGAGGTCTCTACACACAAGCACCCCCCATACACCTTACTGTTTGCCTGTCTGGACACAAGCGCCCTTCCCGTACACCCCTGCAGCGACCTGCAGGCACACACCCTTCCATCCCGTCCCTTGCCAGTCTGTACACCCACACCCCATCCAGCACACCGCCGCCAGCTGGGACAAACACCCTCCGAGGCCCTCTTGCTGCAGCGTTGGGGTCTGTCCATTAGCAGGGCGTCATGCATGAGCCTCATCCTTAAATAACTGATTGTGCAATTGATCCAGTCTCCCTGGTTCTCCACCTTTCCCTCCACTCCAGCCTTTCTAGGGGTGTGTCTAAACTACATGGCTCCATCGATGGAGCCATGTAGATTAGGCTGATCGGCAGAGGGAAATGAAGCTGCGATTTAAATAATCGCGGCTTCATTTAAATTTAAATGACTGCTCCGGTCTGCTGATCAGCTGTTTGTCGGCAGATCAGGGGAGTCTGGACGCGATGCCCCGACAAAGAAGCCTTTCTTCATCGACACAGGTAAGCCTGGTTTCACGAGGCTTACCTGTGTCGATGAAGAAAGGCTT